TTCTGATTCAACTATAAACATTGTTTTTAATCTTGCTATAAGTATTTTTATTGTTTAATTGTTTATTAATTGTTCTTACCGTTATAATATTTAATGAAGTATCACTACTTAATTATGTGAGTTGATTGTTAATTATTTATGATATTATATAGGATGACAAGTAATAATACAATTGAATTTATTCCTAAACAAGTTAATGAGCATGCTAAAGTCGTGACTTGTTTTATTTTATCTTATGTTTTAATGCTATTATGTTTACATTGTGGTGATATAATTATGTAGTTATATATTAGCTTTGTATTATGTATATTTGTAAAATTATTTAAAAATACTTATTAAAGTTTTTTAAAGGACTTAATATGTAGGTTTTAAATAGGCTCAAAGCATGCAGGGCTTACTTTGTTCTCTTTTTAATAGCCTACATATTAAACATGTTTTTAAAAAGGTTTCAAACCATGCCTAATTTTCTAAAATTCGCCTCGGCTTATTTCCATCCCTATCCGACACACATTCCTACGTTGTACATAATGTCTGGATGGCTTGCTATTATGCACAAGAGACCTCCAATTAAGCTTCTATATGCTATAGGATCAACTTTTTTAGCAATCATCTTTAGACAATTTTGTGGAGGTTGAAATTGGTGTTTTAGAAATTAAGTTTGCATGATTCCAATTCAAATTTTTGGACTAAATTTCTAGCATACTTCTCTAGTGATATGAAGTATCCATAAGAACTTTGTTTAACCATTATAATTGATAAATAAGACTTATCTACACCACATCGATTCTAACCCTATTTGAGTAGGTACTGAGTCAATCCCTTTTGCATCTTCACTTGACTTATTTGTCTTGGCTTCAACTGGTGCAATTATTGATACTGATAGTTATTTTGAAGTAGCAGTATTATAGACATCTTCCATATGATCATCTACTACCACACTTACAGACTCCATCTCGATTGATATGAGTAAAGTGTGCATGATACTTTGAAATGAATTACCTATTTGAGAGAGAAGTGGGTTTTTTTAAAGAAGAATTATATGAGCTCAATTCTTTAGAAATTCTTGTAGAACTAGGCAAGGTGTTCCATGGCCAAAATGAACATACCCATGATAATTGAACAAATGTTTGAAGGTTTTTGTGTAAGATATATCAGAGTTGACATAAGCAAGCCCTATTGCTTAAAGCATTATGTATATTTGATGGCCAGTAAAGTAAATATATCTTTACAATGAAAGATTCAAAGAGTAACACCTACCTATCCCATGCAGGGATCGTGCATTAAATATTATTGTATCATTTCCCAATTACGAAAATCAATTTTTCATTCATGTGAGGATTGCTAGAAAAATTAGCAAAAAATAATATTTAAGTTGTCATTTTTGAGCTTTGTTTTTAGTGGGATGTACCCAATTTTGGTTGAGTCAAAATGGATTTGAATTCTCCGAGTAGAGGAGATGAATTTCAAGAATAATTGTATACTCAAAACAATATATAATGGGTGAATGAGAATTCATTTTCAATCTATACTAGAAGTCTAATGTTTGGCTAAGCCTCTACAATATGACTAAGACTCTATACTACCAATAATTAAGTTGATAATGACCAGGGATCGAGTCTCACCAGCGGCAGTGTGGGAGCAACCTCTCAAAGTGAGGGGGGCTCCTTGTGCGCAATGAGCACCGGTCTAGCCTCTATGGTTCATGTTCAGTTGAGTCACCATGATTTACATCCTCCCAAATATTCTGTCGGGCCGGGGTGTGGGGGGCCCTTAGGGTTGGGGTTCAGCCTAAGAATAATTAAGTTGATAATGTCTACCAATAAAGTTGTCTAATGATCAGTTTGTCCATCGAGTAGATATGTATGTTGAAACGAATCATGTTTATCATTTGAGACTTATCTTTTGAAGTTGAAGTCTTTCAAAATATATAGTAGTCTCTATTAGTGTATAACCTCTTCAGATTTCGTCTCTCTACCAAATAAAGAACTCTACTATTAAAGTCTTGTTACTGAATGACAATGTTTATTGAAATTAATTAATTTTGTGTATTAAAAAAGGGAAAATAGCACTTTTTACCCCTGAGTTATATACTTATAGCACTTTTTCCCCCTCAATTATTTAGGTAAGCACATTAGCCCCCTCAGTTATTCTAAAAGTGGTATTTTTTCCCCCCTGATATATTCAATTGACATTTATACCCTTAAAGTAAATATTTTATTTATTTTACTTCTCCAACAAATTATTGCGTATACGTAGGGATGACCACGGTTCGGTTTGAATTGAACCGGATACTATAGCAATCGAATTAATAGTTTTCGGTTATAATTCAGATCTAGAATCCAATATTTAAATGTCAATTTATTAAAATTATGTATCAAAAAATTGAATCTTGAACCGTGAACTGGCGGTTCTGGATCCGATTCGCGATTTTGAACCGTCTTTATTTTAAAATTTTATTTTTTATTTTAAAATAGTATAAATTCAACATTATATATATTTTATTTTTTCAGTTCGGAACATGAACCGTCCGTTCTGGTTCACGATTTTAATAAACTCTAAATATCAGATTTTGATTCTAAATTGTAATTGGAATATTTCGGTTTGGTTGCTATAGTGTTTGTTTGGTTTGAACCAAATTAGGGTCATAATTTGTTGGAGAAAAAAAATAAATTAAATATTTAGTTGAAGGGTAAATATGTCCATTTAACATTTCAGGGGGGAAAACAGCCACTTCAATAATTTAGGGGGCAAAAATGCTATAGGTATATAACTCAGGGGGAAAAAGTGTCATTTTCCCATAAAAAAAACTAATTAATTTTGTTAATTAACTCCAATTAAATAGGGGTTTAATTATAATTTCTATGTTCTACCTATTACAGTTTGCTATACATATATTCAGAGTACTCAGATTATATGTAGTAATTCATCGTATTTAGAAAACCTGAAGCTTCAACACGACAAATCAATTTTAACACATAGTGTACATTACATATACATTCAATTTCATTATCTCATAAATTATCAATGTGTTTTTGTTGATCAACAATTAGAAAATAAGGAAAATATGTTTTGTCGTAACAAGTGTGTAATAATCTCAGTTGTCCATTTGGGATGATCGGACTAACAATGGTTGAAAATAAGGGAAAATGTTATAATATTTTTGTAATTATTATAAATTTTAGACTTGCACTAGATTAGTTTGATAGTCTATTTGTTAATGACTAATTGTGCACTTTTTTTAGATCTTGAATCCATTCTTAGTTATCAATAAATTTACTCCCAAGTTTGTCTAGTAAATGACCAATGTTTATAATAATTACAAAAATGTCAGTACATTTTTCTTTTCTTGCTTATTATTTTCTTACCATTGATCAATACAGATAAACGGATGAGATTATTTTACATATTTAATGAAAAGACATGTTGTTTTGTATGTATATATACAGTGAAATGATTCTTAAAAATAAGATGAAAAGCATAAAATATTTTCCTCAGTCCGTACTAAACATATCCTAATATTTTTCAAAGGTTTAACGGTATCTAATTAAATATATGTTTTTAAGGCATTTAATAAAACCTTTAATAATAAACCATATAAAGATGATTGAGTATTGATCATAATTATTGTGTTAATAAAAAATAATTTAGGTCATAATAATAAATAGTAACATTGATATGATATATATTGACCATCAAAATCAAAAACTTAATTAAACACAAAAAGTCGTTTAGAACTAAATCAAAATAATAATAATAATAATAATAATAATAATAATAACTATAATCAAAAACATTATTCTTGATATATATTTAAGATGTCACTTCTTTGCGAGTTCCCTGATACTCGGTCCTTCGATTTTAACATAGGATCAATATAAATCATAATAGACCCTGGTTCTGACATTTAATTTAGATCTTCTCAATAGCTAGTATCTAGGCAGTAGGCAGTAGGCACTAGGCACGATCAGAATTCTAATATTTTTTTGAATGTTATTAACTCTATTACAATATAGTATTTGTTCATATATACTTTCTTAATATACTAAAGAACAAAGAATCAATGCCCCCAAATTCCTCAATATAATATACTTGAAATTTACTTAATGAGAGTATCCCCAAAGATAGCAATAAAATAGTAAAATGACAAAAAATGACAAATTTCGTCTCCAACAAAATGGTAAAATGACACATTTTTGCCCATCATGAATAGTGTTGTGCAAAATATGGTGCAACCCGGTTCATCTAAGCTATTTTTTTTTTTTAAATTATACTTATTTTGTCTCTGTTCTTTTTTGTTAATTCACTTTGTATTATCCTTTATTTTGTTTTTATGCATTTTTTTTGGAGAATATGCATTTATATATTTTGTTAAATACATATATAAAAGTTTTATTGAAAGATTTCATCAAGATAATTAAAACAAGAATAATATTGAATATAGATTAATTAAAAATTAAATTACATAAAACATAATTTTAACAAAATTTAAATGTTTACATACAAAATTAAATTTTACTAACATATTATTATTTACATTACAAATTAAATTTTATATTAAACTAATCAAATTTAAACTAATAAACTTTTAAATTGTGAAATCAAATTATTTTAATATAAAAAGGGAAAAGGAAAAAAATATAAATGAGCTGACAGATTTGTTTTTTGAGGGCTCACAAAAAAAATTTATTTTTATAAATTCATTATTCGCGTTCTCTTATTGTTTTTTTGGTTTTTCCCCATCAGTTCATCACTCAACTAAAAAAAAAAAAAAAAAAAAAAAAAAAAAAAAAAACCTCTTAAAATGATTAATGAGAATGTTCTAAGGCAATATGTAACACAGAACATAACAGAGTACATATACATGCACAAACATAAACAAGATCGACTTCAAATTTAAAACAACAATATGGGTACATGATTATAACATTTATATATGTATGTTTATTGATCGATGCATCTCATTTTAATACTAATAATAATACTAGTAACAATTATAATAATAATAGTAATAATTGAATGTTGTAAATCGGATGTAATTAAATAAAGATAGAATGCAGATATGATATGATATGATCTGAATTAAGGAAAGAAGGCGCCACCAGGTGCAGGCCACATAGGAATGGGGTGATGATTCTCATTGAAAGGTGGCATCATCATCTCCTCCGCTCCTCCTCCGCCGCCGCCGCCGCCATGCTCAAACCCCATTTGCTGATTGTTACTCATCATCCACTCCGCAAACCACTGCGGCGGCGGCCTTTGCCCCAAATCTATCCCCTCCTCCTGCGGCGCGGCGGCGGCAGGCTGAGACGCCGCCGCCGCCGGCGGAGCAGCCTTCTTGAGATCCTCCATCTTCTTGCTGATCTCCTTGAGCTTCTGATCAAGCAGCCATGCGAGATCGTTGAGGTCCGTGAGGATTAAGCTGTGAAGCCCTTTCCCCGTCAAGCACTGATACATCACCTCCGTTATCTCCTTCTCCCTGTTCTCCTTGTGCTGCTTCTTCAGCTGCTCGCTCGCCTTGGCGATCCTCTGCCGGATAAACCCCTCCTGGTTCACCATCTTCTTGCTCTGCTCCATCTCCGGCATCCGCTTGAACTGCGCCACCACCCGCTGCGCCCCCGCCGTGCTCGGCCACACCTCCGGCTGGTTCTCGTACGGGCTGTAAATGATCGCGCAGGCGTCGATCCCGCACAGCGTGCTCAGCTCGCTCACCTTCTTCATCAGCCCCTTCTTTCGCTTCTTCAGCGTCGCCTTTCGGGCCGAGTCGTTGGTGATGAAGGCCAGCTTCACCTTCTTCCGAGTCATCTCTGATCTGATATTCAGAACAAAACAAAATTAAGCCAATAAGAGTATGATTTGAGAATATGGAAGCAATTGCATTGTTCCTTGGAATGGCATTTCTTATATATACTAACATGGAGGTGGCGCGTAATTAATTTGGAAGATTTTGGGATTTTAACATAATTGGAGGCGGAATACCAATTTTTGGAAAGAATTTATTACCAAATATTCATTTTATCTTCCCATTTTTCAATGCACATCTTCTGCCAGTTCGAAATTTTATTCTCCTTTTATTCATATTTCAGATAAGTTTTTTATTTTTTATTTTTTTATTTTTTTATGGCCTCCAATTTAGTTTACCGTTGGAATGTTATAGATTAAAGTTAATATGCATTCCATTGCAAATTTGCAACGTTAGATGTTTTATTTTATTTTTTATTTTTATCGAATTGGTGAGTATATTATCTACTATATTTCTTCTTCTCTTCTCCCTATGTAGTATATATATATTTCTTCACTCAAAAGGTTGAATGACTTGAATCCCCAACTTCAAAGCCCCCTCAAACTCCAACCTGACTTAGAGGATGTAAATCACGGTAACTCAATGACTCAGTAGAGCATATATAGCTACATGGCGATGCGCACAAGAGATCTGTCCACTTTACGCATAATTCTAACCTACCGCTCCCGAATTTTGAACCTTGATTTTTTCTCTTAATACTGTTTACTGAACTAGTAAGCTACTCGTGCATGCAATGTATTATATTTCAGTTACAGGGATTAGTAAGTCTATTACAATAATTTACAAAAAATAAATTTATATAGATCTTCTACATGAGGATCAATTGTTTAACAATGACGGATCATACAAAATAAAATCAATTTTTGAATAAGATTAGAACCTACAACCAAGGTTCTAACTTAAGGTTTTAGATATATTATGTATACAAATTCATCTTGTTAAATTAGAATAAATAATTAGCCAATGGTAACGCATCATTTTACATATTATTATAATTTATTTGAATATGCTAGTTGAACATTTTATTTAGAAAATTGTTATTTTTATTTATGAACAATCATTATTTCCCATATCTGGACAATTAATTGCTGGAAACACGTGTGTTTTGTTCAAGTAATGTGTTCAAAAATTTCGCATCATCTAATAAATGTTATTTATCCTTATTTCATTTTCAAGAATGTAAATATTCTTGAAGCTAAGGTGATGTGGATTCTTTCAACGCACTTAGGAATGGAATTGCAATTGGTTGGGAAGAAGGAATTAGGAAGGAAAATATCGGAATTGCAATTTAGTGGAAAAAAATAAGGTAGAAATAATGTAGGAATTCAAATTACATTATTTGGTAGGGATGAATAGAATTATGGGGATGAGAATGAAAAAGTGATATAAAGACTAAAATGTCCTTGTATAATGATAATAATAACAATCAACAAGGGTATTTTTGTCATTTCTTTCATTTTTCCTTTCTCACAAATATTGAATTGCAATTCATGGGGGTACCCCATGAATTGCAATTCAACAAAAGAAGGGAATTGCAATTCCCTCCCACCAAACACTGTAATTGAGGCCCTCATTGAATTACAATTCAATTACAACTAAATTACATTCAATCAAACGCTTTCTTAATCTTCCATGTCTAGTCCTGGCTGGAATCTACTTTCGTATGTCCTGCAATCAAAGAGAAAGCCGATTTAACGGTAAAATGATCCGTACTTGAGTGAGAACACAAAAGTGAATCTTCTTGGGCATTGCTGAAGTTGATAGGAACCACCCAGATGAGGTCAAGTGTTAAGCAGTAGTATTCTCTGCATTGTTTTAGTTTATTTCTGTTATATTTATTCTCCTTTAGACTAGGACTTTTATGTTATTTTCTCTTCCATGTACAATATATATACGGGTACATGTTTATGCTTGAATACACATTATCTTTCAAATTCTATATGATATCAAGAGCCTCTTCATGCTCCTACGAGTTCTCTAAATTTTTTTAAAAAATGTATTTTTACTCCAATGGCTATCACAGAAACCACTCCTATCATTCAATTGTCTGCCCCTACTCACTTTCCCATTCGGCTTACTGCCATCAACTTTCCGGTATGGTGCCGTCAAGTTCATTCTACACTTATCGGCCTTGGTCTCCTTAGCTATGTTGACGAAACGCTCAAAGCACCGGATGAGTTTTTAGATGCTACTCATACAAATCCAAATCCTTGCTATACGATTTGGTTTCGCCAAGATCAGGTACTTGTGAGTGCTTTACTTGGCAGTTGTGCAGAGACGATCCAACCTATTATTTCCTCTGCCACCACTTCTGCTGATTCATGGTCTCGGTTGGTTTCCAGCTACGCTAATGCATCCAGAGGGCGTATAATCTCCCTAAAAGCCAAATTGGCTAGAAACCCAAAGGGATCTCGCTCTGTAGTTGATTTTCTACAAGATATGAAAAGTATTGCAGATGACCTTGCTTTAGCTCAAAGCCCCATTAGTGAAGAAGATTTGGTCAGATCATTAGTGTCATTACTCAATTGGGTGATGATTTTCATCCAATCCTGGCAGCTATTCTAGTACATACAACTCATATCACCTTCGCAGAGCTTCATGACATTCTCACAGATTACGAACGATCACTGAAACACTCTGCTGATCAATAATTATTATTGGCTACAACAAATGCCACTCAGAAGCAATCACCTAAGGGCCTGTCGATTGGGAGATCTACGGGGGGAGAACGTCCATGACGTGTACTATGCTCCAATCGTTTCAAAACCACAAATAAATGTTGCAGTTCAATCATCCCCGATATCCTGGCATCATCGCTTTGGCCACCCGTCAAATGTCACTCTCAAAAAGTTATCAAAATGTAACAATATAAATTTTCAGTCTTCCATTATTGATAATTTTAGTTGTTCATCTTGTCATATTAATAAAAGCCATAAATTGCCATTCGCAGAAAATTCCCTAGTCAGTTCAAAACCTTTACAATTAGTCTACACTGACGTTTGGAGTGCCTCAAATAAATCTATAGATGGTTATTTGTATTACGTAATCTTTTTTGATTTTTATACGAAATACATCTGGCTATATCCTCTCAAGAAAAAATCTGAAGTTTTCGTAGTTTTTCCCCAATTCAAGGTCTAGTTGAAAAATATTTTGACCTTATATTGTTTCTATTTTTTCTGACAACGGGGGTGAATATATAAAACTTCTTCCAATGCTTAATTCCTTTGGAATTTCACACTTCACATCACCGCCACATACCCCGGAACATAATGGCATTGCCGAGCGGCGTCATCGCCATGTGGTTGAAACCGCCATGTCTTTGTTACATGCAGCATCTCTTCCAAAGGAGTTCTGGTCATACACTGTCCAAACAACAGTTTATGTCATAAATAGGCTTCCCACACCTATTCTTGGAAATAAATCTCCGTTTGAATGTTTATATCAAAAGCGTCCAAACTATGAGCGGTTAAAATGCTTCGGGTGTCTTTGTTTTCCATGGTTGAGGCCATACATGAAAACTAAGTTACAACCCAAATCAATTCCGTGTTTGTTCCTAGGATATTCTACTTCATTGTTTGCCTATAAATGCTGGGATCCAGAATCAAATCGATTGTATATTTCACGGCATGTGAGGTTTATTGAAACAATATTTCCTTCGGTTACTTCTACACAAAATTCTTATGCCTATGATAAACATATGCCATATTCCCTCATTCCACACAATATTAGTTTGCTTCAACCTCTAGAATCTATTTCTTATAGGAATGGTCCAGGAGATATTGTTTCATATGCTAATAACAATGCTCCAGTACAATCTCTTCAACAAAATTTGCAGGTCTCTCAATCCAAAAATTTAACTCTATCATATGAGGCGTCTTCTTCCAACAATAATATATTAGCGCCATCTCTTCTGCAAAATGTGACCGCTTCCTCCTCTCAGGAACCCACACATCAGACAATATTAAATTCCAATCACTCTGCTTCATCCTCAGAACCAAACTGCCATTCATCTAACACTTCTGCGTCCAGTTCTAATCCTACTCCAGCTTATGTTTCGAGTCAAACTCTGTCCCCAACCCGTCCAAAATGTACTCGTAAGCCTAATCCTAAATATTACAATTCCAACTACATAAACCACACCACTGTTCATCCGTTGCCCAACTCTCTTGAACCTTCTACTGTTGGTCAGGCCTTGAAGGATCCCCTGTGGCGTGAAGCTATGGACAATGAATATGCTGCGATGCAGAAGAATGAAACTTGGGTTCTTGTGCCAAACACTGGTCAGCGAGCTATAGGCTGTAAATGGATTTTTCGTATCAAACGAAAATCAGATGGTACGGTTGAACGCTATAAGGAACGTTTAGTGGGTAAAGGTTATTTGCAAGAACCTGACCGTGACTACTTTGAAACCTTTAGTCTGGTAATGAAGCCGGTTACAATCCGGGTAATTCTCGCTATCGCGTTAAGTCATCGGTGACCTATTCGTCAATTAGGCGTGAATAATGCATTTTTGTATGGTACACTTCATGAAGCTGTCTATTTGGAACAACCCCCGGGTTATCGCGATGTTCAATTTCCTTCACATGTTTGTAAGTTACAGAACGCGCTTTATGGCCTTAAATAGGCCCCTCGTGCCTGGTACTTAGAATTATCCAATTTCTTATTGGCGTTTGGGTTCAAGCGATCAAGGGCTGACACATCTTTGTTTATTTATGTATCAAATGGTACTGTGGCTTATTTTCTGGTGTATGTGGACGACATAATTTTAACTGGTAACAATACATCGCTTTTGGATAAGTTTGTTACCGTTTTAGATCACAGGTTTTCCATTAAGGATCTTGGCGCTCTCCATCATTTTTTGGGCGTAGAAGTGGTACCTACCTTCTCCGGCATGTTTTTATCTCAAGGTCAGTACTTAGTTGATATTCTCAATCGGTTCAAAATGGAAGGGGCAAAGGAGGTATCCATGCCTATGGCTTCAGATATTACACTTCAGGCCAATGACTCTAGGCATGTGATAGATGCAACAAACTATTGGCGTCTAATTGGTTTGTTACAATATCTATTGATTACTAGACCAGATGTGTCCTATGTGGTAAATAAATTGTCTTAGTATATGCATGCGCCTAATGATGTTCACTGGCAAGCGACAAAATGTGTGCTTCGTTATCTAAAAGGCACGTGTCATCATGGCTTATTCTTGAAATATGAGTGTCCTATGGTGCTAACAGCCTTTTCAGATTCTCATTTCCCCAAT